CTTAATAAATAATTTAATTATAAATAAATTTATAATTCTAAAATTTTCTTATTCATAGAATTCCACGTAATGCACAACCCGCTGTTTATTGCACCGCGATAAAAAAAGGAAGTACAGATGATTGGGAATTCCTGTGGACTCAATATCTACAGGCGAATCTTCAAACAGAGAAAAAGATCATTATAAATGCACTCGGATGCTCGACAAATAAAACAGTGCTCCAAAAGTAAGTTTCCAAACATAAAGGATGCAACAACATAACTTACTTAAAAAAAAAAAATTTTGTTCATAAATATAATTTTAAAATGTTAATTTAATTTTGATTTCTTAAAATGCTCGAATATAATAATTTATTTTTAAAATTAGCTTGAAAGCTTAAAAATTATTTTTTAACTCTTGTTAGTAAACATATTTATGACAATAAAAGTAAATCTATGTCTTTTTGTTTTAATATTATAAAACTTGTAAAAATTATAACAGTCATAATAATTTTCCTAATTATTTTGATCCCCCCTCCCCTCCTGAGTGATTATATAATTACTTAATTTATGAACAATTTATTTAACAGTTACTTAGGAAAAGCTATTGAAAAATATAATCCTGCAAATGCCGCCATTCGTCGACAAGATGTTTCAGCGGTGTTTACTTCCGTGTACAGCGCAGGTCCAGTAGGAATAAATGCTACCATTGACTTTTTAACAACTAATATCAAAAAACTGCACCGATAGTAAGTTACCATTACAGCACTATCAATTGCAATTGTAGCAATAAAATTCTTACGCTTGTATATTTTTGTTACAGTTTTGGAAAGTGGGACAATATTGCAGATATATTTGCTAACATGGCATCGTATGTATCGAGCGAGGATCAATATAATCAGGTATAATTCAGGATTCTTATTTAATGAATTGAAAGTGACAGGACGAAAAAGAGAAATTTAATCAAAGATTTTTTTTTACATTAATTAAATTACTTGTCAGTATATTACAATATTAAAATATTCTACACAGCATTATATTGCTTATTATTATTATTATTATTATTTAATTATATAAAAGTACGACAGTTATGAATTAGATAATTTCGTTGAGTAATAGATTAAATAATAGTATAATAGTAATAAATAAATAATAGTAAGTATAATAGTAATAATAATATAATAATAGTAATAATAATTCTTAATAAATAATAGTAATATATTCTTTTTTTCTAGATGATACACTTTATTGAACATAATATACATCAGTATCCTCCAATCATCAGATCGAGATTAGTTTCTGCTCTTAATATTGTGGAAACTAACTTATTCTGGTTCCGAAATAACAGTAATAAAGTTAGGGAATTAATAATCGGTTCGGAATCTGGAAATAATCCTAGAAGTAGTTCTACCAGGTTAGAATCATTGAACGTCATTCTTATGACTGTTATTGTTTTAATATCATACTTTTTAAATTATTACTAAATAATTAAATTGAACAGAAGACAAAGATTGCTCTTTAGAATTTTTATCACGCAATAAAAAAATGTATTCTTAATCTATGTTTTTTATTTATGATTTGATTGTTTTAAATCTAAGAATAGTGAAGTTATATTTTATTTATATAATATTTTAATGTATTTAATGCAAAAAAATTGTTAACCAAGTTTTGTAATTAAGTGAATAAATATAAAATAATAGAAAATAAAAATAACAATGATGTACTATTTATTAAAAGATTTAATATTACAAAGTACAATCCATATAAAGAAAAGATTTCTTTGAATCAAACAAATGTTTATGCTTTGGAATAGTCCAACTAAATGGATGTTTAAATTAAGAATGTTATTACTTTCATTAAAACTAAATTTTTTTGACTAAATAAAATATGTTTCATTTAAAATTAAATTTGTTTCAATGAAACAAATATAAATAGAATTCTCGAGTTTAAACACATTTTTTTCTCTGTGCAATTGACAACTTTAACTTATGATAAAATTCAATTATAAAAATTGTTTATACAAATGAATAATATACACTCTTTAATATATATGCTTTTGTTTTCTTCGTATTAACATAGATGAATGTAACGCACGAAAGACATCACGAAATTATTTTTTTAATCAGCTAAGAAATTTGATTAATTTGAATTATACATTATTTTAGATTTTTAAATTGCTACATTCCACAGCAGATATTGATTATGTGTATAAAATACATTATGAGTTCTCAGTATAATTATATATCACTCACAAGTTCTTTCGTTGTACTTTATTTTAAATTAATATTGTATATTTATTAAGTCAAATATTTTTTAAGTCGAAAATCGAATTAAAAATAAATTTATATAAATCAAACACAATCTTTCGCATTGATTCTCAAAATTGTTCTAATTATAAGCATTGTGATGATTTTACTCTTTTGGTCTATCGTCTTTCTTTTTTTGATTGTAGCGTCTCATTAGTACAAATTAATCGTCATAAGACAAAAATTTGTACCTGGCAAATATTGTGATCGTTTGCGTAAATGTACTTAACAATAATTATACAGAAAGATCTGGCGATATATTGTTTATGTAGAGTCTATTTTTATATTTAATATTCTAAGAATACGTCTATCGATTATACAATATTTTTCTGTAACCAAATATAAATCTCCATATGATGCTTATTAAACCATCTTATATTAGATTCCGCATTCTCTATTACTTGATGCAGGGTTCTTGTCGCGTTATTAAATTCATTCAGATGTTCTTTTACAAAGTTTATCAGCTAGAAAAATATAAAAAATAATATAAAA